AAAATACGTATGTTTTTTTTTGCTAGCTTCCACGAGAAAATGTCGACGCTGCTGTACAGTCTCTGTTAGCAAGTTTTCCTGTTCACAGTGGTATATATGGTTGTTGTGGGTCGTTTGTAACAAAGGTTATCCTATGGGGAATGTTCGGAATTTTTCTTTTCAATGTGCTTGGGGGAGTCACTGTACTCATCGGGTTCCCTGTGTTTCTTGATCGGGATGATGTTTTACTTTTTTTCGTCTTGTTCGTGCCAACGATCCTCATAACAGTTGCTTTATTATGTTGTCTTTTCACGGTAAGTTTCTTTAATTACCTATATCTCTTTTCCAAATCATTTATCCAAACGTTTCATTCAATAAATTAAATCCATTACACTCATTTCGCCATGTTCATAACAAGATGCAAATAACATTTTATTGTATATTATATTTCAAAGCAAGTTAGAAACAAAGAAAGCACTATGGTGTTCAATACACTGATGCATGGCGGGGGTCGATGCGATACCATACCGCATTCCCACATATTTTGCATTATACTTGGCAGTAACTTATTATTATACAAGTTGTCCTGCTTGTACTTGAAATGTATATAACACCCCCAACTGTAGGCAAAAAAGTGTTTGTAAAATCGTTTTCGTCCATTGACGTAATTTCATTTCCGCCACAGAATTATGCGTAAGAGTGAATGTTTGGTCTAGGTAAATTATTCTTTCATCAATACATGAATGTTTTTATTGTTTCATTAGTGTCCTCGAATACACAGGGCACCTGAACGTCAAGCTAATTTACATCTCATTGATCATGGGTTAATTGTTGGACTGGCGCGTACACATAAGACATCTTGCAATTTTGGTGTATCCTTTTTTAAATGTGCAAATTCGATAAAGTTAAAGGGCAGTGGTCGACGCGCCGCGTCATGTTCGATGTGGGTAAAATACATTGTTTGTGTTTATGACCACCGCTTTTTAAACAAATAATTTTCATTGTTTAAATCTAAACGAGATTATGCGTGCACCATACTGTCTTTACATTATTTCCCATACATGTGTAGATATACTTTGTTTATTTCCGAACCTCACGATGCTTGGTAAGTAATTCTTGATTCCTATTTCTCTCAGTCGACGAGTTTTACCTTAATCTTATTTATGTATCATTTAGTGTTACAATTCTCCATTTTAAATATTAACCCTAACAACAAGTTCAATTCCAGTCAGAACTAACAGCGGCCGTTGCACTCAATCCAAGGTAGCCTGACGAGGTCGCTTGAGTTGCACGCTCCATGGTGCTCCAAACCCAACACACGGCTGACAGAACGATGTAGATTTTTTGTCGATACCAATCCAATTGCAGAAACGTCAGATAGTGACTGTCACCTAAGAGTTTATTTGTTTGTTGACATAGTGTGTGATAAGTTGCTGGCAAATATCCGCCTGTGATTTCTGCCGTCAATGTCAACACGGCTTTGATTGACGGTGTTACTATAACCACCAAAATAAATATACATTGAACTAATTGCAAGAAGGAATGTAACCTTTTTAGGTTCAGTCATTCTAGCAAAAAAGAGGAACCAACCCGTCACAAATTGCAACAGAAATAATTTATTCACAGTGCTTTGCGGAAAGGTATCTAGATAGACATACTAAGTGTCTAGGAAAATCTAGGCTTCCTAAATATACCTAATTGGCATATATTCAAAATGACCGTTTTGCACATTTTGAAAACACGAAAATATAAATATTTGAACATATCTTTAATTGTAGATGAGGTAATTTAAAAAATTATGATGCTATGGTACTAAATGTGTCGGAGAAGGTATGAGAGTACCAAATGTGTTTATTGGGTAGATGAAAATTAGCATTAATCCAATATGGCCACGATAATATAATTATTTAATGTAACTTCTTTTCCGGCTTCTCTTCTATGTGGAATAAGTAATAAGTTTAAGATTTTAAACAGAATCGTACAATACGGAAAAGATGTAAATAAATGGTTTCCTTGGTAGACGGATGCTTCATTTGCATAAATCCAATATGGCCGTCACATCTAAAAGAAAAACTAAAGGAATGACACACCTTGGATCTACAAATCTGCTATACTACATACATAATAGACCATTTAAACGTAAATGTTCAACTCTATAAACTATATTTTTGATTTAACAAACTGTATTACATAGTTATAATTCTGTCCAAAAGTTTATTGTTTGATTAATGTAATTGCTAATCGTCATCGCTATCTTTATCAGATATCTGAACTACATTTGTGCATCCGGATCCTCGACATAGACCACAAACTGCAGAACATTCAAGGTTGTGCTTTCTGCAGGTACATCTGAGACTGCGACAGTCTGTGGAGCAGTTGCATCTCACTATCATCAAAAGAAATTCAGATACAGAAATGACGATCCGTTGTGGATCGCGTCCTGGGATTTGCTTTCTGGCGAGAAACCCGATTCGTGTCTTTATCACGATTGTCCATAAAGGAGACACCCCGTCCGAGAAAGACAGGGCCCCTAGTTGAGCCCGACGCCTACCCGAGGCGAGGGTGAGAAGGAAAACTGTTTTTCACGTCAAATAGGATAGGAGAGGCTTGCAATTGCAATCTAGGCCTCTGATTAAACAGTAAACAGTCTCCCAATGGTAGGACAACCGGCTAGCCTCGTCCCCAGAGAATCTCAATGGTGGGTGTCAAGGCTGACCTATAGCCAACAATCGCTGAAAGTACAGGACCATTTCGTTCAAACGATGGACGAAAAGTCAGCTGTCTGAAAAGTCAGCCCACCTCCGTGTCGAACTCCCTGGCCAGGAACACCAACTGTTGTGTTGGCTGAGGGTGGGACTTGCTCGATTAACTAGGAAGCACAACTGGTCTAGAAAATCTGGTGTTAGCCTTACTGTTTGACTAACCACCCCTTGTTGGGTTATGTAGCAAGCAGCCATCTAGGTACCCGTTGATGTGTATTTTGCGAATCCACAATATTGATCTTGCCGACGAGACATACACTATTCTGTGAGGTCTGATGCCGTTCGGACTGCGAGGGACTACTCACGCCTACATGTCAGGCTAAATCCATGGATGATCAATCATAAGACTCAATCCCATAACAGACCTTGTTATTTTCAACAAAACACTCGTTCATTTTGAAAAATCATATTGTTGCATGGACGAATTTTGACAAGCAATGTCAGACGTACAAAGGAGTGTACAGACCACCACAAAGCAGGAGCAATTCGACAGGAGGTAGATAGTTTGCTTACAATGGGTGCTATACACAGGATAGGGGACCCGGCGTAAAGTCCGGGCTTCTACTCGAAAGTATTGGTGGGTCCAAAGATTACAACTGAGACTACAGGTGCCTGTGCCCCATTCTGGAGTACAAAAATGTTGGGCGTCGCCCCACCAAAATCAAGCTGAAATCCTGTGTGTCAGCAAAATTTGCCTCTCTAAATGCAGGAATGTGCGTTTTTAGAAGGTCTAGATTTATTTTTTTTAAAGTGGAGCATGCCCCGGACCCCGGGTTGGTGAGCAGATCTTTTCCCCATGCATAATTTCGTGACGCCGCCTCTGAGTCAAAATGTGTTATGGGTCTGTTGCACACACAAGCCTGTAACGCAGTTCGTCCATCAACTTTCCGAAGTCAGAAATATACATTAGACACCGAAAAATCAAGTCGGTAACATGGTGATTTATTCTATAACTAAATTATTAACATAAGTTACAGAGCATTCCAAAAATTTATAATTTAAATGCAGTTTTTTTTTTTCTGATGAGTGTCTTGTCTTGTCATGCACGCAATTAGTATTAATTATTCTGACAACATAAGCGAATTCTTCAATATGTCCGTCATTGCACATAGCTTTGATGGACAATAAATCCATAAATATCAGTTAAAATTAACATAAGTTACAGAGCATTCCAAAAATTTATATTTTAAATGCAGTTTTTTTTTCTGATGAGTGTCTTGTCTTGTCATGCACGCAATTAGTATTAATTATTCTGACAACATAAGCGAATTCTTCAATATGTCTGTCATTGCACATAGCTTTGATGGACAATAAATCCATAAATATCAGTTAAAATCGGATATTATTTATAATATCCGATTTACCAAAACCACGTGTGGAAAGGATATTGGACATTTGTTCCATGGATGTTCGAAACTGTAATATGCACGTGACATTTGATCTCGAATATTTTTGCTTCTTATGTCTCGTCTAAATTTGGTATAGATTTCCGAAAACATAGAACCAACATGTTGCTAGAATATGCATATAACCTGAAGTACAAATCTGATTGTAGTAGTAATTAAATACAGCGTAATACCAATTATTCAAACCATTACAATTAGAGTCAATCAGTAATGTATAATGACATTTAATCTATTCCCAGAACACATTAGAGCGATATCTGAAAGACAAGGCCAAAGGTTCTACCACAAATACAGGTTCAGTAAGTATGGCAACCACCATATTTAATTATTTTCTTCAATATTCTTTTGCAAATACATAATTCTGTATGACTGTGACATTATGATTACCAGTGCGTTCATGTCGAACCTGTTTTCATGTTTATAAATCGCCCTCTTTTGACAATTCGAAACCTTGTCATTTTAGCTTATGTACATTGTCAATTGCTTAAACAACATTGATTTTGCGCATGTTTTAGAAGTCTTGACGATGAGATTATATGTATGTTATACGTATGAAGGACCTCACGGTGAAATCACGCACGGGTGTGAATGCTTAAGCGTGTTCGCGGAAGCATGCAATTCTAGAAATGATAGATAGATTGATTCATAATACAGATTTTGTAAATTCGGTTATAATACTCCTGGAAGTCATGTCGATTGCACCAAAAATTGGAAAATTTCGCTATATATAGCACCAAATGACTGATTTTCAAAATTACTTGCCATGGTCAAGTCCTAAATTGCGTTGCCTTGATAATCATTGGGACTCATTTCGAAATGTAGTAATGATAGTTAATAATTGTAATGCATTATTCTAATGTAGGGCAGTACTTCCCCTGAGGAATGTATTCTGGAAGTCGATGATAATCATGAAGAACAAGAGTTGATTGAACCGACCACGTTGCGTGACGTTGATGAGAAGATAAAGGTTTGTTATTTTCACTGCTTGAACATTAAGTCGTGTTAACTTTTCTCCTGAACTGCTAGTTATTTTGTCTTTTTATCGCTTTTTGTTTGTTAATATATATACTAATGATATATACAATCTACGCACCTTTCAAAAGTGCTGGTAAGAATGAGCACTACTGCAACACAAATTTCCAGAATGTTACTCTTTTCACTTTCTTAAACAATATTAATTTTCAGGCTTCTGCCCGTGAGTACTTGGTTTCCGTATGTGGCCGATATGTCAGAATGGTGAATGAGAACCAATCGTACAAATCACCAACTGGATTTCGACACAGTAGAACAGGAATATGTTTGTGCCAGCTTGTACAACAAAACTGTTTCCACGAACTGGTGTGATTTTGCATTATTAGTCAAGTAAAGACACTGGTTGTTAAACACAGCAACTCAGTTATGAAATACATCAAATAATGTTTGTTTTTTTAAACATTTTTTAATTTTATTATTTTGTAAACTTTATCCATAGACAAAAAACAAAAAGTTTGGCAAAACGAATCACACAAATGTTTGGGTTCATAAACGGTCTTCGTCCCGTGTACGTTTCATGTTATCTTTTAATTCATTGATTTATATATTAGAAGCAATGTTGTTCGCATTTTATAATAATGACTTATAGCTCCCACATGGCAAACATATATCATAATAACTAATTACTTCTACTAACATAACTTGCATGAATGCAGCTTGCCGCGTGATACATGTGTAATCATTAGAAATATCGAAGGTTATATATATATATTGTATATATTATGTATATTATTGTTAGTAGTATATGGCAGTACAATTGTAAGTGTGCAACAATATGTGGCTGCCTTGTTGTTTTGTGCCAATTTTAAAGTGCACATTTATTTGTTTCTTAAATTAGTTGATTTTCATGAACGTACTATTAAATTATATTTTTCACAATTTCTCTTATTGTGTGATTTCTTTTGATTTCAATTGTTTCCATCATATGAACATATTGTCCGAGTCAAATCCAATAATGGTTCTCATTACTGCAATACCCTTTCATGGTGTTTCGTCGTGACAAAATTGCCTGTCATGTCTATATACATATTTATATGCGTGTATTAGCGGGCATATTGTAGTAATCTGTGCACACTGTATTGATATTCTAATTATATGTACACCTGGTTATGCCAGTACATCTGGTATGCGTGGTATAACAGAAATGTAATTCAATAAATTGTTGTCAGTATTCTAAAAGCCTTGGTCGTGTTTGTGTCTTGACATTGTACTGTGTATGTGCGTGCTTTCGTCATGAGATATATTACGAATATTATTTAATAGTTTTAGGTTGACCGCTAATAGGAAGCATTATTATTTAGTGTCTCTCAGAGTCAGGTGAATACGTACATATTTTGTTAAAGTTAAACGATCTTGATATATTCTCAATATCATTCAGGAATGACCAGTGTAATTAAGTTGTAAGTATTGTAATAACTAATATCAGAACCGATACTGGTGATTGTATTTGTAGATAGATTATTCAATCGCATACCCAATCAGCCACTTAGAATAATTCTTTAATTAAGTCTAATTCTGTAATTAGTAACACACACGCTGCAAAGTTTGTTTTCACTTTCAAATGCAAGATCAATAAACATAATTTACAAAACAGGGGTTAATAGAAGCTGCCTTGGCATCTTCTCAGTAAATGAACAGCAGCTGAATATTGTCGTTATTATTCTTAGTCCATATGTAAGTATATTTATGGTAATTCACTCTTCATATGACATTTTCATTACTCAAGAACATATAGATTGGCACTGACGGTGTATTTAGACTCGAGCTGGTTTTTGTTTACATATAGAATTCAAAAATTTAGTTTATTCAGAAGACCAGAGCAAAAGTTGTATATTGGGTAATCTAAACAAGCACATAATTTACCTGCTACTAAACTGCTGAAAAAGTGGTGTCATCTGAAAATATACCGACAAATCGGGTCTTCGCAAAACAAGAATGTGCCAAGGGTATTACAATAATAATTATATAATTATGAACCATTTATGACGTACTAATAGATATAACATTATATATAAACACTACTTTTATCATAAAGAATTATCATGCCACACAACTACATAGATTATAAGTTTGAGTATGTAAACTTGATCACAAAAGAACAGATTGATTCAAATACGCGATAATTATCTGAGCTAAGCAATGCTGCTCAATGAACGAATGTCTACTTTACACAGATTCCTTGAAATACTTTATTTAAAGAAATTGAGAGAGACATAATCCTATACTCGATGCCTTGGTTCTACCAGTCGAGTTGGGCATTTTATCCTGATAGATCAGTCTGACATATTGCCCACATAACCTCGCCACACAATTCCGGGCAGTTTTCTATCAGTGTTAATAAATATTATATGCAATTATTGAAGAGTTGATCACTTCAATATGAATTGGAAAATAGGAACGACACGCGGTGAATGACATTAATGCAAGATTTGGGATGAAAGAAATATTCAAAATTTTAATGAATTAACACGTCCAGCAGCATGTCAAGGATAGTAACTTCTCCATGATACACGATATTATATGACATTGTACTCATTCATTTATAGCAATGTTTTACACAAGTATGCTAATGTTTGGCTCACGCGGATTACCATCAAACAAATCATCCTCTTCGTTTTCAATATCATAACTGACTATCTGTAAATATCAATTATTGTTCTTTATTATTATTGGTATATTTCTGGTAGTTTCAGGTGTCAGATAAAACGCGTGTGTGATACGAAGCGTGGTGTCTGCGAAATCGTGTTACAATTCTCCCAACTTCAAATTTGTTTCACCCACGTCCAGAGGCGAAAAGGTTTGAATATTGTTAACATTGCTCGGTCGACTTAAATCAAACACACTTGTTGTCCCTGCCTCAAACACAAATTTGATAATCACTGGATAACTCCTATTATTAGGACATGTTTAATGAACCACAATTCCATGACCCGATTGATTAAAATAATCAAC